AAACAATCCCGACGTGATTCAGTACTTTCTGGAGTGATTGCGAATTTTTCTGAAGTGATTCTGTACTTTCTGAAGTGATTTGGAACTTTTGATAAGTTATTCAGTGCTCTCTAAAAGGAATCAGTACTTTTCGAAGTGATTCCTAAGTTTTGTGAAGTGATTAACTACTTTTCAAAGTGATTCCGAATGACTCTCAAGTGATTCAGTACTTTACGAAGTTATTTCGATCTTATTCGATATGATTCCAAACTTCTCACAGGTAGAAGTTCTCCGTGGAAGTAGTGCCAACTTTTGTCCGTGAATAAGGATTTTCCCCGTTAGTGGTTAACCTCAACCGGATGAACTTTTGAACAGTTCAGTGGTACTATTTAATTTCTTTTTTTTTTTTTCATAGTCGGATATATTTTTTAACTTTTTTTTCACGTCAAATATCAGACTTAAAGTTGTCGTTTTTTACGATAGATGAGGAGATGAATGTATACCGTATGCGTGATAATGTTTGCACCATCGTACAAATAAGGTTTCCGTTTCACCTGTGCATACTATGTCTTCGTTTTCTTTGTATGCACGTACACTACCGATGATAAGTTTAACCATGCAAGTATGTTTCGTTCAATTTTCGATCTCCAAAGATTATTTGAATGGTATGAATGGTATAGCATAAGGGAAGGTCCATTGATTATGTCACGCAAATTTGGACCATTTTCAACCCACCCCCTCCCCCTTTGTCACATTTTTTATATGGACCTTAATTGTTTTTTGTAAGGCTCGTCACAGTTTCCAAAACCTCCCTCCTCCCTAAAAGTGTGTCATACTTAATGGAAGATCCCTAAGTGTTCAACAACTACGTTTATTTCAAAATTTGACCAACCCAATTCTGAGAAAATCAGTCACGATTCTTCAGAGTAAATTTTGAAAAATATTGTAACTTTGGGTGAACTTTTAGCACACAAAATTTGAAAATTATATTGAACAAATTGCCTACAAGGAAAGTTCCATTCAATACCTGTCAAATGATCTAAAGAGAACGAAAATTGGACGTAACATGACAGAGATATGAACATAACAAATTTTTCATGTTTTTTTTTTTGGGTGTCCTTAAACTTATGCTCGGGAGTGTAATCTAGAGCTCATACCGTAGTAGGCTGTGTATAAAAGAAAATGATTTACTTAGTTTGCCAGTTGCACCATGACGAAGTGGCAGCGTATTCGTGATTTGACCCACGTGCAAATGTCGCAAAAAGACATTTCAATCGCAGTGGGAGTGTCCCGGTGGACCGTCAAAAGGGTTTTAGACCGAGAAAAGAAAGGACAACTATTCGCGAAGGTGCCCACACGTCGCTCGAGGTCAGCTCGGGTTCCGAGAGTTATCGCTGCTATCAAAAGGAAGATTCGGATGAATCCAGTGCGTTCAATAAGGAAAATGGCAGAGGAACACGGGCTCGTAAAGGAAGATTGCGGGGCAAAGTCAAAGGCCCAGAAAAAAAAAATCACATGATTACCAACCGCATCCGGGAGCTTCGAATCGAACGATACAAGCAAATCTTGAACGTCCTTAAGCGAAAAAAAATCCGGTAATCCTGTTCACCGACGAGAGCATGTTTACCGTCGATCCCATATCAAATTCCAGAACCGACCGGTATATTAGTTCTCTTCCGGTAAAAGACGTGGCCGACGTGGAGAGAAATGGATCCAGACTATATTATTAGAACCTGTCGTGCATTCCGGAAGCGTGTGGAGGTCGTAATAGCAGCAAGTGGTAGCTCGATCGATGATTAACATAGTTTAAAAGTCTGAGAAACATCCCCCCTTTGAATAAATAAATAAACTCAAAAACGAAATTTTTGAGAATTTTTTTAATTTTTGACATTACTCAATGGTGCAAACATTATCACGCATACGATAGAGTACGGCAGTGTGAAAATTGTATATAGAGAGTAGAAACGAGCAAAGGTCAATTTTGAGCAAGGCACGAATCGGGTTGATCATCTCCTTTACCAAACTCCCCTGTTGGGGAGGGATGGTGAAGGGTATCTCTGAGATCATAAACCCGATCCGTGCCTTCCTCCTTTCGTGCTGAACATGTATATAAGGGACGCTAGCCACTTCAAATTTTACGATTATGATAATTTTCTCCGCTAGCTATCCCGTTCATTATGAAGTTGTGCTTCTCCTCCTCCTCCAAGAAGATGAACGGTGCGTGGAGCAACGAGAATATCGAAAACACGTTAGCTATGATAGAGCGGAAGTTTGTTTTTCTGAGAAAAGAAAGGATTTCCCTTTTTCTGTGTTTTATGTTTCTTAATTATAGGTAATTTCTTATTGTGCTAGTTGGAAGTGCAAAAAGTCAAGAGAGTAAAAATAATTTGTTGAACTATTAGAGATTTTGCCAAGACGGTCCTCCAACTACGTTGAACATGCAATGGTTGGTGTAGCAGCCACCGCCATGGATGTATTCGAGCAGTTCGGATGGTCGGATGGTATAGTTTTTGTTTGATTGTTGACTTTCCGATTAAGGGGGTAGTCCACTCTGGCGGTATGAAAAATAGGTCATATTCACGAATTTTTTTGAGGGTAAATAACGATCAATTCAAAAAAAGAAATACAATGTGTCAATTGAAATGTCCTCTTTAATTGAGATTTTTTTTTTGGCGCGATCGTCTGAGTCGTCGCGGGGCGGGACGTCTGGTGGTCACATCACTGGAGCTGGAACAACGAATTTTTTGTGGTTATTCTCTGATAGATGACCCAGTCTTGTACGTAGCCGTTTTTGATTTGGTTGAAAAATAAAAATTTGGCGATGTTTTGAAAAAAAACAGTCCGTTTTTGTACCCTAAAATTGGAGATAAAAGCATGCACCAGAAATCCATTTTTGATTCTTTTGAAAATCGGCTACGCACAAGACTAGAAAAAAAGGTACTTAACTCGAAATTTCAATCGCCGTTTAAATCGAATAAGCCGTTTCTAAAATACAGCGCCCACCAATTTTGAAAAAAATCGTTTAGAGATAATTGCGGCAGCAGTTGGAACTACTAAGACACGCCGTTTCGCCGGTAACGGGCGGGTACTCCCAGAGCTCACCTGAGCGCGCTTGGAGCGTCTGGAAACGAGTCCACTAATCGGCCTATAACTTTGGAACGATGTCACTTGCGGTCAAGTCTATGTCAAAGTAGATATTCCAAAGTATTTTTTAAGCCAAAAAAAACAGATTTTTTGAAATTTCCAGAGTGGACTACCCCCTTAAATCTCAAGCACCGCTTGTCGAGGCCGGACCGAGCTTTCCAGCGACGACCACGGCTATACGAATAAGCGATGTCCGCGGCTGTTTCCAATGCTGCTGCTGCTGCTAATCCTTCTGCTGGTCCGTCTCCTCTAAAATTCGCCAAAAAAATACGGACCTGCAGCAGCATTGGAAGCAGCCGCAGCCGTGGGAGCTGCATCGCTAGTTCGTGTAGCCATGACCGGAAACCTCGGTCAGGTCAAGATACCGATGTCAGCTGTTCTTCGTCTGGGAGGAAATGTGGATGTGACTGCCGTCACGGGTGTAACGATTTTGAGAATCCATGGCGAGACTTGGTTGAGATTCACGGTTGTTTTGAAAATAATTTGATTATATTGTGGCAACATCAATAACAAGTTTTGACACATGCACACTGCGCAAGCGCAGAAAAAGTTGAGTGTTGCCAGTAACTTTAAAGATCATAAAAATTGTAACCGTGGGTGCCAAACAGCACTAATGACTTCGCCCGCGTGTGCCCAAGTTTGATTTTGGCACACTGTGTAGAGTGAACAACCCCTTGCTCTAACCCCAGTAGGCCTGGGCAAGGTGACTACATATAGGTGTTCTAATGTGTCAAATTCATGATTCAGGCATGTTGGATTTTTGTATGAGACAGCGACCGAGTTTGTTTACAATTTGCTCTAAAACCGCACTAAAGCTGTATCACCATTTATATACCCACCATGGGCCTGGGTTCAATCCCAGTCGGCGCCGCCGTGATGTTCTGAGGCATAACATCTCTGATCACGCCTTCCTTCGGAAGGGAAGTTAAGTCGTTGGCCCCGGTTCATGAGTTGATGGGTCAATTGGTAGGGTCCAGGTGTGGGAGCTGCCTTTCTGGCGTCGGTAGCATTGGTGCTCAGCACGGAAAACAAGATCGACGAAAAACAAATCAAGGAAAAAAAAAACTCGATGACCATAAACTCGATATCGAGTTATTGAACCATATTATACATTAATTTCATGGCTACTACCATAACGATTTTGCATGGGATTGTTATTCTATTACTCGATGGTAGTTAAATACTTTATATTGTGCTCTTTCAAATACTGGCATGAAAATGTATGTGTATTTGCACCATGCTGAGTAATTAATATTTGAAAAGGGTGTATTAAATAAAGAAAATCGTAATTATTGAGTGATCTGCAAGAGATATCAGCTTACTTTATTACGTAAAAATGTGTTCTAACCGTTTCTAGAAAACGACTTCCACGAGTGATATGAAACAAAAGATGGTAGCTAAACAAATTAATTTTTTCAGGCACACCCTAATACCATTCTTAAAAACTTCTCTAAAATTATAATGTTAAAAGATAAAAAAAAATCACAATGGTGGTTGAAATTTACTCAGCTACAGCTTTGCTTAGCAACAATATGTCTTTATTTCCAAAAATAATAAACAAAGTTTTTAAAAGCCAATTCATTGGAGGGCCACCCTAATGTTTACATCCAATTTCCAATCAATGTTTAATTTTCAAGCGCAAAAACTTCAAACCTCTAAATATTACAGTAAATGTCTAGGACTACTATTGCTGCTAAATTCCCATTCTGGCCCTTATGAAAGCTCAGTGTAGAATTAATGTCTTCATAATGGAACGGTTCAAAGCGATCGCAATCATGCTTGTTCACTCCTATCAAAACAAAGGTCAGCAGAGAAATGCGAGCACACTCGGAAGCTGATAACGCCGCTGCATCAATACATTTTTGCAATCACTTCACTATGGATTGGAAGCACTCTTCAACACTGTAAGCACGCTGCATTGCATTAATCAGCAAATCCTAATACTTGAATTTCATTCAACAGGACCATCGCTTTAATCCTGTCCGCGCTCATACCTCCTGTAGCACCTTGGTACTACAACTGCTTCCAAAGCTCCGAAGATACCTCCAGTCTCCTATCGAACAGCTGCAGCCTAAAAGACATAGTTGTCCGGAGCGATATCGATGCCCAGGATGTCTACTTTCCGCCGACCAACATCAACTTTTTCCAGTCGAACTTTTCGTCCTTCTCACCGGTCCTAGGTCGCCGATTGCCGGATGAAGCAGAGAAAGTGAACTTTTTCAACTGCATGGTGTCGAAGTTTGCCATTCCAACCGGGCTGCGAGTGCTGGGAGTGTATTTCACCAATGTGGCGCTGTTCTATTCGAACTATCGGATGGAGAGTGCAATGGAAGAACTGTCCGTGGTCGGTGCCCGGATAACGTCAGTACGATTTGTGGAAGTATTCCGGAAGCTGCGTTATCTTCGCGTCGAAGGAAATCCTATTCGGCTTGTGGTTATGGAAACGTTTCGAAATTTGACCGAAGTGGAAGTGATTAATCTGAGTGGCAATCAAATTATTACCATTGAGCCTACAGAGAAGCCGTTGGAGCTACCCAAGTTGGTAGAGCTCAATCTGAGGAGGAATTTTCTCATTGAACTGGACAGCAGCTTGTGGTATTCTCCGAGTTTGCAGATCCTGACCTTACACACAAACTTTCTGAAGAGCTTGAACGTTGAGGAGCTACACAGATCATTTCCACGGCTAACGCAGGTGACATTGAGTCGTAATCATTGGAACTGTAAGCGGTTGAATGTGATCTTGGGATCGATGTTGATTCGGAACATCACCTTTTATGAGCCGGATGCCAGGGTGGGTTGCCATTCGTTTGAATATCTTGAATATATGAGCTTTTCGGAGCAGGATGCTATCACTAATGCGAAGAGGGTGGTGGAGCGGTTGGAAACAGTATCAGCTGAGTATTACGAAGAAATGAGAAATACTACTGTGCTAGAAGATCTGCAGCAGCGAAGTGATATTCTGAGAAGGAAATTAGATGGAATGAATGATGTAGTTTGGAGGGTAATGAAAAAATACGGTGAAATCAAGCTGTGGGTTCTAAGCACTAGCAATTAGGCAGAAAGCACGATGAGAGGTCTATCTTTAGAATGTGTTTTAAATACAAGTGAACTTTAGGAAATAGTGTTGATCAAGAATGATAATGGCTGAAAGCATGCTGAAAATCGATGCTTATCTGAACATCCCGACGCTTTCCCCTCTACTTTTCGTGCTGAAACTCAGTATCCCGGGTGTCACGTCGGGTGACGTGAGACTCCGTTGAATATGCACGTCAGTGGTCACAATATCAAACCAATTATAAATTTTACTGCAGAACTTGGTTTGAAATCATAAAAGTGCGACAATGTGTCCGGCTGTATCACGTCGTCTCAGTCCAATTACACTCTCCACTCAGTGCTGATCGATCGAATTAACTACAAAATAAACACAAATAGTTAAATTGTTACTCCTGCGCCGTACGTCAGCGTACAGAGGCGCCTCTCGGAGAAGGGTGCAGCCGCCATCAGCAAAACACCACTAAAATTCCACTACCATTATTGGTCATGGCGCTTTCGCACTCCGATCGGCCGCCACCGTTCCGTTGTTGGTTGCAGCTCGGCAGAATCTGACCTAAATTTGCTACATTTAACTATCCATAAACATGTCTATCATTGAACCACCATCATCTGTGCTGTGCTGTCTTCATGTGAAATCCACTTGGCGCCACTGGCCCGGAGCACCTCTGTGAGTTACCTGTGTGATTACATATTGCATGCTGTATGGTTTTTCATGCCTTCTCATAAATGTGATTTAACCCTATAAACAATGTTTTCCGCACTCTTCTAACCGGTGCTCCTGATGACGGCCCCCCCGAGAGGGGTAATCGAATTGTTTAAAAGCTTTTGTATGTGCATAATTTATGATTTAATGCATCAAAAACGGCAAACGGCATGGACGATCGACGACGACGCAGACGACGAGGGTTGCTTTATTATGGTGCTATATTGTTGACTTCTTCTGATGGTGCTGCCAATACCGATAGAGGTAAGCAAAGAAGGTCCTCCGCCTCCTTCACCATCCTGGACTTGGTCGTCATCATCGAGGTGGTCGTTTGTGCACCGTTGACTGGTCATATGCTACCGTCTATTACTTGAGTTGGCAAGCCGTGCGTCTATCGTATTGGAAGTGATGGTCGTGATTTACCTATTACAATGCAATGGTATATTTCTCATAGTTTCAATGGGAATAATGGTGTGACTGCACGGAGAAAATTTACCACCCTAGAACCAGGGATGGATCGCACTTTGGAGCAACGTCCATACTTTTCAATACAGAAAGCTAACGTCTCCATATTTTTATTTTATCTGTTTAAAAACAATACATTTTGCAATACTTTTTTTAATGTAGTCAGTGAATAATAACGTCGAAAGTTCATTAGAAACGCTAAAATCACAATTTTACTTTTAATTTCATGCTACAATATAGAAAAAAAAAGTAGAAGGGTCTGTGCCTAGGGGCACGAACGGAAACTTGACGTAGGACCGCTAGTGGACGGAAAAAATGTGAACATTTAGTTCTTTTAATTGATCAATCATCAATTATCTTAACTCTTTCCGTTTTTTATTTGTAAGCGTATCAAATTTGTAGTATTTATTTCAAAGAGAAAGTTGATGAAGAGAATTCAAGGGACTGTAAACTTGAGTATTTTCGATTCATCTACCCGACTTTAAAAGGTGTATTTTGATTTTTTGAAAAACAAAACAAAAATAAGAGCTGTTAAAATACCGGGTTGCCAAACAAGGCATTATTCACAAGCAATCAAAAGTCAGTTCAATGACTTCTTGGCATTGCCGGTACAGCTGTGGCACACTGAGGTAGTCTGAGAAAAAAGTTGGCGCAAAACAAGTGTGCAGAGTGACCACCCCTTGGTTTGGATACAATATTGCTCTTAAAGAGGCTATGAGAACCTTTTGTAGAGTATGAGGCATTATGACAAAAGGTTTAAAGACAGCTTTATTGTGATTCTCAAACATGCTTTATAAACCTTATCAAGAGTGGTCCACTAAGCGATTATCAAAAGGTTGTGCTGGAGCTATTAATTTTATTGACGGTTTTATAAAATTGATCTCAAAAACCACTAATAGAGTGCAATAAAACAAAAAATACTACTACAGTGAAAACACGGAGTGAGGCTCAACGGTGCGAATTTTTTTAAAGTTTGATCGGGAGAATATAGGGTATCCCAGAAAATATATGTATACTTTCAACTCGCCGCCATTTCTACCCCGGAGAAGTTTATCAGCTGTACATCGATGTGAGTTGCTGTTTACTTACTGCTCAACAAGTTTGTGTGCGCAAAGTGCACTTTTTTTTACAAAATCATCAAGGTGCGAGGCATTTCCCCGGAAAACCGCAAACAGATCGTGCACAACTGGTGCACTATTCACAACCTATCAGTAAGGAAGTTGACGAAAATGGAGGAAGTGAGTATCGGAGCAGTCCAAACCCCCATCCGGAGGTTCGGTGAACAAGTTACCTTCGAGGACACACCTAAATCTGGGCATAAACCAGGACCGGTGAACCGAAAACTGAACTAGAAGTTCACCCAAGCTTTCGTCAATAAGAAAAGTGCTTCTGTTCGAGATTTGGCCAAAAAACAAAGAACATCGAAGAGTAACGTTCAACGTGCCAAAGCAAGAAACGGGCTGAAAACGTTCAAGAAGCAGGAGTCAGAAACAAGCCACATCCGTCAAACTGAGTGCTCGGAAGCTGTATGATAGCATTCTGTGCGGAAAATTGGCGTGTGTTACCATAGGCGATGATACATACATCAGATATGACTACAAGACGCTTCCGGGAGGCCAATACTACACAGTCCGTGATGGTCAGGAAGTTGATCATGTTAATAAGACTGAAATTATCGTTCGGAAGTGTTTGAATCTGCGGCCCATGATCCATCAACATGTACTATATTGGTCCGATTATGTGTCAATGCACTACTTGATAGACACGGTAGCTTGGTACAAAACAAACCATGCGCAATACGTGCCAAAAGAGATGAATCCTCCGAATTGTCCGGAGGCCCGGTCAATCGAAACTTTTTGCGCCCTTTCCAAGGGATATCTACGGAAACATTAAAGGCACTGAATTAATTCGAAGAATTAAAAAAAAAAACTGGGCAAAAGCGACCAAAATTATCGCCAAAGAATCTGTGCTGAAGCGTCAGATCCAAGGGGTGGTCACTCTACACACTTGTTTTGCGCCACCTTTTTTCTCAGTTTAACTCAGTGTGCCGCAGCTGGCATGGCAGTGCCGAGAAGTAATTGAACTGACTTTTGTTTGCTTGTGAATAATGAATTGTTTGGCAACCCGGTATTTTGACAACTCTTGATTTTGTTTTGATTTTCGAAATCTGAGAACTCATTTAACGACGACGATTTTGGGCCGCCGGAGCCGGAAAGCGACAGCAGTCAAGAAAGTGGTGGACGCTTTGTGCTAGTCATGACTGTCGGCTCTTCGGAGTCGAAAGGCGCTAAGCGCAAAGCCATTCCAAGCGACGAACAGACGAAGAAGAGCAACGGAAGATCAAAGCCATGAAGCAGCTGTACAAACCGCCGACGGTAGAGGAAATCAATCGGTTGAAGAAAACGGAATATTTCTACCACTCGAATCTGTTTCGGCTGCAGGTGGAAGAGATGCTAAGCGAGGTGAAGGTGAAATTCAAGGTGTTAAATTATATTGAGCGTTGGTTGGGCCATTTCCGGAAGACTTTGAGGACGGTAAAAGATGCGGACAATGAACGATCTGTGAAGGATGTGAATTATGAAGGGGTTGATTTTCCGCTGGCATTTCCTGAAGGGTCGCATGTTCTCGCAAAGGAAAGCTTTAAATTTGTTCAGCAACGGATCGTGCACCATATTGGATCCAGTCGTTTGCGAACAACTTATGGCAAGCCACTGAAAGTAGATTTACTGCTGGAGATTCTGGACAAGTGTTTCTGGAAGGAAGATTACCTCAACTTAATTACCTTAACCCACATGAAGAGGGCACATTGGACAAACATTCAAAGTATTCTTTGACCAAAAAGGGGACTTCCGATGAAAAATTTGCCAATCGCGTTGTGTTTGTGGTGCACGCTGCTGTAATTTATTTGTAACAAAATTAATTTAACAGTGCTAATTTTTAATATAACCAGATTTTATTTCAGCAATTATTAACAGAAGTATATGGTAGCATAATGAAAACGACCATTTGACCATGTGCATCCATTATCACTCGTCGGCACCTTCCTCTTCTTCGTCGAACTCTCCTTCCTCGTCAATCGTCGTCTCCTGGTACTGCTGGTACTCCGAAACCATCATAATGCTCTTGGCTTCGGTGAACTCCATGTCGTCCGTTCCCTCGCCGGTGTACCAGTGTAAGAAGACCTTCCGGCGGAACATGGCCGTAAATTGTTTGACGATGCGGTTGAAAATTTCCTGAATCGGCGATGTAGGTGGACGACATTTTCAAACGTATGTATGGCTCTACGGCGGTGGAGGAGACTTTGTGCGATGGATCGACAGAGTACGAATTCATGATGCAATCTGGGTAATCTTCTCGAATCTTCGAGATCAGTATCGAGAAAGTTATTTTTGCTACTGAATTCTGTCAGCGTTACAAAAAATTTAAAATTTACCTGGACCAGTTTCACCGCCAAGCGAGTGCGTAAGCTGAAAGCCCTGCAACCCTTGGATTCCTTACGGACAACATCCAGCACAGAATCCACCAGTTCGGTACCCTTGGTGTAGTATCATGTGACCCAGTTCTTACCAGCACCGGACTGTCCAAAAACGAAGTTATCCGGTCGGAACAGCTGTCCAAATAGTCCCGCTCGGGCGCTCGAACCGAATCCATAGTTCCCGGCTCAGGGTTATTCAGAACCACTCGTAGGACGTACTTTTCTCCGGTCACGGGAGTCTGAATAACGACTTTAATAACAGAACTGCAGCTGGTAATGTTGAGATTGATTGAGTGGTGTTTCTATGCAAGCGATTGCCCTGATTTGTTCATGTACCTACTTCTTCGGACAGGCAATAGGATTTGCGCTGACTGTACTTTGTGGAATTCAATTCGATTTTGGAGAATCACTGGCGGGACTTGATGGAGATTCACGGTTGTGGTTTGTAAAAATTGGATTGTCCATCAATAACACATTTTGACACATGCACA